TGGTCATGGATGAGCACTGAGTTTACAGCCATAGAGACAAAGGGGAGGGGATCTGATGCATCTAAGACCCATCTTCCCATTCTCTGACTGTTCCTGATTCCTTATAAAGGATAAAGTGGAGGCTTCTACTAAGCGTATCATCATTCCAGGGGGCTTCTAGGGCATAATCTGAATACAGATGAAATGCCTCTTTCTTCCATTAACTTATTCAATAAACAACTGAGCAGAATTTCTGGGCTTGGAAATAGGGATACAAAGATGTTTCCAGTTCTCAAATAGCTACAGCTTAACAGAAGAGATGGACCTTTACACAGGGAACTTAGAAAAGCTTGAGGTAATTGCTAAAGAAAGTACAGATGAGGTGTTGGAATAGAGACTGACTGGCAGATGGGAAGATACACAAGAAGGAGATATTTGAGCTCTTAAATTTTGCAAAAAAAAAAAAAAAAATGTATGTGCAAGGTGGCCAGGGTGACTGGTATTAATCCAAGGGGAAAGAAGAAACTTGGGGAAAAGGAAGTATGAAAAAATGAGAGAAGCCCTAATAAAAACTAATGGTCAAAGATTTAATCCACTCTCTACCTCCCGCCACCTGCTGATATTTTTATATGAAGTGGACATATGTTCGTCAATCCCTCAACCCCGATTCCTGGTCAGACATCCCAAAGCTGGAGGAAGAAAGACATGGCGGAAATTGGATTGAACCATAGCTGCTTTTACCATGCCACCCTGAGCAAATGCTTTCTTCTTTAACCCTTAATTATTCCAACTTTAAATGTGATGGTTATTTCTCAGAATGATAGCAGTCGGGTGGGTTCTACCACACCCCTGCCAAGTGGAGCTTCTGTGTTCTCCAGGTCAATCTTGTGTTCCTAGAGCCACAGTCTTTCAGGGAAGAAAGAATGGGGGTGATTTTCACACATTTTACATATGAGGAACAGAAAAATACTTGAGTCCTATACCCCACCCCCCAACCTTCCATTCTCCACATCTTTCTAAGCAAGTAGATGGAAAGAGGCAGATGAAAGACTTGAATTATGTCTTCAAGAGGGAAAAATCAGTCACCACAAAACTATATGGAATAAAGCAAGAAGATAACCCAGTTCAGCCCCTAATTTTAAGGATGGGAAAATTTGGCTGTGAAGAGCAATCAGCTCAGCCAGGCTTCCATAGCAAGTTAGTGACGTAGTTCACCTCAGAGTCCTGTTGAGCCAGCGGCTGGTGCGCTTGATTTCACCAAACATCTCCACATCTCTGCCTCAGTGCTCCATGACCAGTTTGCCTCTCCATCCTCACAGCCAGGGTCAGCAGAGAGGCTCCATCTGGACTGAGGCATGCAATGTTATAGAGAGCACTTCAAGGGCCACTCTGGAATATGCACTGGTCAGTCCATGGGAACCACTACCCTTCTTCAGGATGGGGCACTGGGGCTCTCTCCAAAAGGCAGGTGTTCCATTAGCAAAGGCCAACTCTGCTTTGTGCGAGTGGGCTTCTGGGGGCAGATCAGCTGATGATCTCGAGACACAGCAAATCTTCTTCTCATCTATCCAGAGGATAGGGTGAGGCACAATGAAGGGGTAGGACAGAGGAGATGAAGCCCTACTTGTTTGTTTGCCAGCAGACACACACCTCTCAGTTCCAACCAGGAAAACAAGCATAGAATCACCATTCTCTCTCCTCACTCCAAAGAAAGAACACTGATCCTTTAGCCATTGAAATAACGTGACTGAGATCAGAAAGGGCGAGTGGAAGTCATCATTGTGGACATTTATATAAATAATAATTTTCCAGTGGGAGCTGTGAACTCTCCTTTTCTCTTCTATTTTTAAATGCTAATTGCTTTTGATTTTGTTTACGTAGGCGGGGCTAATAAGAACGTTTGCTTTTTAACCATTGAACTTAATGTCGTTTGCTTCTTAACCACTGAACTTAATGTATCTGTTTTGGGACACTTGTGATTTATTTTTGCACCCATGCTCCAAATTGGTGCTAATTACTTTAAAGGATCAGGGTTTCTATTCCAAGAGGGATGACGACAGAATGTCAATTTGCAGTCTCTGAGCATAATGTCCCAATTATCAATGCATTCCAGACCAGAATGGACTTGGCACCTTCTTGAAGGGGTTTGGCTGCACTTTTATCAGCCAGTCCCTGGACATAGCTTCATTAAAACTTGCTTTCTAGTAACTGGTGGGTATGCCTATACTTTCCTCTCTCTTGAAGGCCCTTTAGTACCCTATCAGTATCCAAATATCTACCTTTCCATGTTCAGGTTACACACTTCTCCCTCCGAGCCTTCTTTGATCTCTGGCTGAAAATAAATTTTACTCCCTATGAAGGTCCCAGAGCACTTTGCTGATCCCTTCTTCAAGGAACTTAGCACTTTCTACATTGAATCAGAATTATTTATTCACCTACTTATTTCCTATTTCCTCTCTGCGCTATTAGCCTTTTAGTGAAAGTACCTTATCTGAGTTATCTTTGTCCCACTGCATGCTGAAGCTTCTGCTAGTGCCCCATGCATGATAGATGCTCTGTGCAAAGATTTAATTGAATTTTTTCTAATATTCTATCTGCTCCAGAAATGTTCTAAAGTAGGTTTAAATAAGTAGTTGTGGAACAGAGGAATGAATACATCTATACACACACAAATAAAATGAGTAAAGCCTATAATGAATTAATGAAGTATATCCAGATATTCCAACATTTAACTATCATATCTAGAAAAAAAAAAAAAAACCCACCACCGTGCTGTAAACAATGGTTGGGGGGTAGCAAGGGACAAAGGACTCGAAACTTGACCACTACCACCAAAAGAACCAAAACTTCTGACACGGTATTTGCTCAATGAAAGTGTTTAGCTAAGCACAACAGATAAACTATCCCACTGAGGGCTCACTGACTACACAGAGTGAATGTGGAGCATGTTGGGACCAAGGAGATATGGCCACAGGAGAAAGAGTACACAGATCTGTCCTAACTTGTTCACTTACCATTCACTTATCTATCCAACATACTTTCATAAGGAAGCCTCTATGTCGAGCACCACGTTTGCACTGTGGGTACAAAGGTGAATAAGAGGGGCACCTGGGTGGCTCAGTCGTTGAGCGTCTGCCTTCAGCTTGGGTCATGATCCCAGGGTCCTGGGATCGAGCCTCGAGTCGGGCTCCCTGCTCAGCGGGAAGCCTGCTTCTCCCTCTCCCACTCCCCCTACTTGTGTTCCCCCTCTCACTCTCTCTGTGTCAAATAAATAAATAAAAATCTAAAAAATAATAATAATAATTAAAAAAATAAAACAAAGGTGAATAAGAACGTCGTAGTTTAGCTCTTTAGAGCAGGGGTCAATAAACTCTGCCCAATGGGCTAAAGCTGGCTCACCCTCCTCTTTTGTGAATAGAGTCATGGATCACAGCAGCGTCCATTCATTTGTGTATTATCTATGGGCTCTCCAGCTACAACTGCAGAGTTGAGTAGTTCTGACAGAGACTGTATATCCTGCAAAGCCAAATATATTTGCTGTCTGTCATCTGTCCCTCTACAGATTATTATTATCTAGTTTATGCCCTAGTTTAAATGTTATTAAAGTACACTGGCGACAGTGCCATGTGGGGTGAGGACAGAGTTCCATGGGAGACCTACACAGTCTTGGAAAATCAAGGAAAGCCTTTGGACTAGGACCCTAGGGACAGAGGCCACACGTGCCTTGCTTCCTGTTATACCCTAAGTGTCTGTGTGGTGCAGGGCACACAGTAGGTTGCTCAGCAAGTATTTACTGAATGCATGAAAGAATAAAGTCACTTCTAAGGTGAGAGTGGAAGAGTGATTGGAGTAATCCAGGACATGTGTGGAGGGCTGGGGAGAGAAGGGGGCAGCACATGCAATGGCCCTGAGGCAAGAGAGCGCCAAGTGCCTGCCGTGGGTAGCAGGTGCGATGCAGCCGGCGGGGGTGTGGCCTGGCCGAGTGGGGTTTGGGAATGAGAAGGAGGTAAGGCTGGAAGGTAAGAGGAACCAGACCAGGCAGGGCTGGTAAAGCCTCATTATGGAGTTAGGGCTTTATCCTGAAGGTCATGGAGAGCCACTGATAAGTTTGAGGTAGGGCAGGTACAAGTTCCAAGTGTTGCTTCAGAAAGACCACTCTGGAGGGCAAGTCCAGGGCATAGCTGGTTAAGTAAGATTTGTGGTAGAAACCCAGGGGCCTGCACTAAGGTGGGGACACTGATGATCGCGATCAGTGGAGTCACGCTGACAGGACTTGGTGGCTGACTGTGAGGGGATGAGGAGTCAGACAGAGGGAGGAGTTAAAGCTGATGACAAGATTTCTATTCTTCCATGAAGAATAAAAGATTAAAAAGGAGGGAAAATACTGGGGCATGCTGGGTTTGAGGGGCATACAAAGTATCCACAAGGAAGTTAAATATGTGGGTTTGAAGCTTGGGTGGGTAATCCAGTCTGATGATCTAAATTTGGGAGTCATTAGAATCTAGATAGCAATTAAAGCCATTAGAGCAGATAAAATTTGCCTGGGAGAGTATGTGGAGTGAGAAATGAAAGGGTCAGAGAAAAAAAAAACTTTTAAAACCTGAGGAATGCCAACATTAATAGAGGAACAGAACCCAAGCAGTCCTTCACAGGGACTGAGAAAGAGCATTTAGGACGATAGGAAGAAAATCAGAACAGTTTGATGTCACAGAACCAAGGGACCTAATATAGCGAGGACAAGAGTTTCAAATTAATTAAGAAATGTCAACTGCAATAAAGATGGGAGTTCAGACAGAGCCCGGACAGCTTTGCTGTTGCCTTTCGTGACATGATGGCAGCTCAGGTAGAGCAGGGAGAGCCGAAGCAAGGTGCAGTAAGCGAGCCATGAATGGGAGATGAAGAAGCCAAGTCAGTGCAACCCGTGTAGGAAGGAATTGGGGTGGGTAGGACAGCTGCTGAGAGGGGTGGAGGGAGCTTTCTTTTCTTTCTCTGTCTTGTTTGGAGTTAGGAGAGGTTCGATCGTGCTTACACATTAACTGGGAGCAAACAATAGTCTCATTTTAATCAATCACTGGGAAAACTTGGCTTCTGCAGAGGACTTCACGTGTTTTGTCCTATTAGAAAAAGAAAATCCAGTAACCCAGGATGTTCTCTTTTTATACTTTGTTTCCAGGAAGCTTGGAATCAAGTTCAGTTCCCCTCAGTGTCTGGTAGTATTTCGTACCACTTCCTTCACTTGCTTTCTGTTCTGTTTTGTATCGAAATACCTTGTTTCTTTTTTCTTTTTTTTTTTTTTTTTAAGATTTTATTTATTTACTTGAGACAGAATGAGAGAGACAGAGAGCACATGAGAGGGGGGAGGGTCAGAGGGAGAAGCAGGCTCCCCGCCGAGCAGGGAGCCCGATGCGGAACTCGATCCAGGGACTCCAGGATCATGACCTGAGCCGAAGGCAGTCGCCTAACCAACTGAGCCACCCAGGCGCCCCGAAATACCTTGTTTCTAAAGAAGAATTGTCGTGAGCCGTTTACAAGCTTACAAGCCCATCATCTGTCCCTCATTCCCCCCCATGTGTTCCTGGGTACACACAGTGACCGTGCCTTCTGCTCCACACAGCGGACACAATGGTTATTAAAGTACACTGGCGACAGTGCCATGTGGGGTGAGGACAGGGTTCCATGGGAGACCTACACAGTCTTGGAAAATCAAGGAAAGCCTCTTGGACTAGGACCCTAGGGACCGAGGCCACATGTGGTCGCTTCTACACTCCAGTAGAGGAGACGGACATGAGCCAAATGATTGTACTCATAATTACAACTGTGCTGAGTGCAGCAAAGGAGAGTACTGGAAGCCCTAAGAATCGAGGGATCAGGAGAATCGTGCTTGAGGCTGAAGGATGAACTTGGAGATGGGCAGGGTAACCTCTTTGGAGACATTGTAAGTGATCATTAGGCTCCTGCCTGGACACTTGCCATGGAGAGAACCAGTGCTGCATTTCTGCATAATGCCAACAGTCAGGGCAGAATGTGAGTCATGCAACCTCCACCCAGATGTCTATACTTGAGTCCACGCAAATAAGCTGAACTTCTGTCTCGCACGGTGCTCCACGGCTGGAGATGGCAGCAATAAGCCTCACCTATGCACACTTATAGGTAGATCTGTTTTCTCACAGTTAAAAACAGGTTTTCCAATTTTCCTTTTCCTATTTCCAGATGATGTCATGTTTACAGAGACTTCTAATGATTTCCAAATATCCATTTGTAGCTTCTATAGAACTACAAAACCTTGTTCCTGCATACAGAATTGCTAGCTGGAAATATGGCTGTCCAGAAAAAAAAGGAAGACTACATCTTCTAGCTTCTCTTGCAGCTAGGTGCTGTGGATTACTGGTAAATTTTAATCAGCTCTTCTGGAAGAAAAACACAAAATCCCTGATTATTATCTGTAGTGTTAATTCTCCCATAACCAATTTTAAGCAACTCAGCATGACTCACAGAACATGGAGCTGGGAGGAAATGTACACACGGGGCCCTCACATGCCATAGAAGTGGGCTCTAGCACAGCGCTCCTAGGTGGGACCATACGATGGGGTTCTCCATGGGATATGAGTGGAAGCAATGTATATCACTGCCCAGTTGTGTCTTCAGTGGAATTCGGGGACCTCTACTCCCCCTTCTTCTTTTTCCAATGGTCTGGAATACAAAGAGGGTAGATAATCTACTTTATAACCCATAGATAAGGACAACATACTAGAGATAACAGAGGAACAAGATCGGAGGAGCCTGGCTTCCAAATATTTTAGTGCTACCTGGCTAGACCTAGTCTCCTTGTGGGTGATTTTTTTTATGTAAACAAGCAAGAAATTCCTAGCTTGTTTCAGCCATTATCATTTGGGGTCTCTGTTAGAAACAGCTGAACCTGTATCTGAACTGACAGAGTCATCCATCACAGAATGGCAACCAGACCACTGCTCTAACATCATCCAAAAACCTGCTACTCACAAGACACAGGATGAGCAGGTGAAGTAGACGTTCTCCCTGCTCCGGGGACCCCAGCCTGGAACAAGAGATGGCACGCACTCAAGTTGCTGTGAAGCAAGGTGCAGGTCATGAGTGCTTGAAGGGAGTGCAGAGAGGCAACCGCATGGAATTACTATTATTCTGAATGAGGCAATCTTTGAGCTCAGCCATCAAAGATCCTTAGAATTTTGACAAGTAGAGAGGCGCAGCAGAGCATTCCAGGCAGAGGGATTGTACTTCTTCAGATTTTAGATTCCAATCATTCTGAAAATGTGATCCCTCAAAAAATCTCTAGACTGTTGTTTTTCCCCTTGTAACAGAACAAATTAATATTGTAAAACTATGACAAAAATGTTTAAAATAGTGAAGAGAATCAATTGTTTTCTGAGTTTCTGATCCCCCCCATTTACAAAGAAGCCCTTGATTTGTTAATTTCAAAGCATTTTGGTGGATTAATTCAAACATTCCTCTAAGTGCTTTCCTAAGCGGCATTCCCTGGGCTTATTTTGAATGACTAAAGGTGCATAAAGACACTACAGCTTCATACCTTTAAAAAAAATCTATAATGCCAACTTTTCACTAATGCACACCGGTCTCCTTTCCAGTTAGTTTTTCTTAAGGGAAGAAATGACATGTTTCTTTTCCGTTGCTTCATGGTGCCTGATCTAGCAGTGAGTACAAGAGAAGGTCTCCGTAAATATTTATCAGTGTGAACGGGAGTCACAAAATTTGAGACTATGAAGGAGGATGCTGGGATTGTGGGTGAGGATGGGACTTCATAAAGGGCCTGGAGATAGGAAGAACAAGTCTGGCAGGGGCACGGTCGTCTTAGGAATGAGTGTCTGGGATCCCCCAGCAGATCTGTCCAGCAAAGCCCCAGTCTCCCCTTCATTGCACAGGTCCGAAAGCAGAGGCCCTGGGGGAAAATGGCATTGATGGAAGTGTCAAGGCCACCGCATCCTAGAGCCAGGTAGCTTTCTAGTGCCTTTCCAAGTTGGCCAATCCTTGCTCTCAATTTGTTTTTCAAAGTAGTGGTACCCAAAAACATAATAAAAAGAATCCTATGTGTTTTTTGACATGCAAATTCACACTGTGTTCTTTGCTCAGGAAATTAATGCACAAACAAAAATATACTAGTGGGAATAAAGTCACATATTGAAATTCCAAGGCTTGAAGATGTAAATCCTTTTCGAGAGGGAACAAAAAGAATAAAGTTTGGGGGTTCTCCCAACTCACCAGAACATCCAGGTGTTATCTCCTTAGCTTCTCCCTCTCTGTAGAGTGAGCAGAAACAAGCCAGGCAGAGAGATTCCCCAAGGAAAAGCAGACAAAGCTGAAAAACTCGAATTCCCATGGGGCTATGTGAGGCTAAGAGGGTGAGTTAAAGAAAGGAGATCAAGGAACCTAGATAGTGCAGTCAGGACAGCACAGATGGGAGCCAATTCATGTTAGGTGCTGAAGAAATGGACAAGCCCGGGGTTCTTAACTGGAGCAGCCATAAACAATCTACTTGAACCCCTCTAACATATTAGCAACAAGGTATGTTTATAAGGAAAACATTTTATGGAGGAGGCAACATGTGAGACATGTTTGGATCAGGTTCTGGTCCAACTTTTGTGACACTTGGACAGTTTATCTTCTTTGAGTCTCAGTTTCGTTATCAACAAAATGGATTCTCTTCCACAGCTAGTGACCCATGCCTCTTTCATAAGTTTAAGATAACAATATTTACATTCCTGAGAGAAATTCAACTTTTCTGACCTCAGTTACTCAGCTTTATCATTAACTTCTGTGGAGTCCTGACAGTTACTTCGTTTGCGTCTTTATCAACTTAACAATTGGCTTAATTATTCAGTTCACAACCCATTTAATGATTCAAGTCATACAAGAACCAAGAAAAATGATATACAATGTTACTTTATTTTTTCACAGCTGGAAGGAAAAATTGCCTATATACTTAGCAAAAATAATATTTATTTGTGTTACTCTAGAGAGGTAGAAATGGTCACAAAATTTTAAATTGAGTTTACATTTTTCTGAACTCTCATTCATAGTTCAAGCCTTTAAAGATAAATTATCCCTAAATTTGGTCCAGAGATTTCTCTCTATTCTGGACCAACGGCATAGACTATTATGGCCCAAGCCACAATCATTTCAAGCTTAAACTCTTGGAATAGCCTATTTATCCATCTCCTTTCGCCTCCTCATACCCACCTCCCTTCGCTGCCCACCCCACCAAGTCTGTTCTCCACATAGTAGCTAGGTGAGTCATTTAAAACCTAAGTCAGGTCATGTGACACCTCCGCTCAAAATGCTCCAATGACTTCCTGTCTCACTCAGTCAGAGCCATAATCCCGCTCAGGCCCTGACATGCCCAGTAGGCTCCCCTGCTGCCTCTCAGACCTCATCTCCTACAGCTTTCCCTTCATGGACTCCGTTCCAGCTTCATGGGCTTCCCTGCTGTTCCCAGGACACAAGCACACTCCCACGACAAGATCTTTTCAGATCATGTTCCCTCCATCACTTCCCCTCCAGATGGCAATAAGGAGTAAGGTGTGCTACTGCCCATAGACCTTGGTTTAAATCTCACCTCTAGGGGAGACGAACCATGAGAGACGATGGACTCTGAAAAACAAACTGAGGGTTCTAGAGGGGAGGGGGGTGGGAGGATGGGTTGGCCTGGTGATGGGTATTAAAGAGGGCACGTTCTGCATGGAGCACTGGGTGTTGTGCACAAACAATGAATCATGGAACGCTACATCAAAAACTAATGATGTAATGTATGGTGATTAACGTAACAATAAAAATTAAAAAAAAAATAAATCTCACCTCTACTGAATAGTAACCCTGTGCACCCATGGCTTTTTACCTCCCTTCCCCCGATGGATTCTTCTGCATAGGCTCAGCACCCAGTTATATTTCCTGTTTGTGTCTTTCCTGTCCATTTCATCCTGCTAGAATATAAACTCTATGGGCTCAGAGATTTTGTCTATTGGATTCATCCTTTCTTGTATCTCTAGTGCTTAGAATTGGTATATAGTAGGCATTCAATAAACATTTATTTTAAAATATTCAGAGTGAACTATTTTTCTTCATATATTGACTATTTTATTGGACAATGTACCTTCTCTCTGACACAATAATTTGATTTTAAAAATTTATTTTTTTCTCAGATATAGAAAGAATGACCACAAAAACATCCCTCTGAGATCATTACCAATAATGGCAAAATTCAGGGCACTGTGGAAGGGCCGAGTGAGCAGTCAACTGGATGAAGTTCAGGAAACGTGAAGGGCCAGAAGTCCTATCCCATCACCCACCATGGGGCCATTTCTACCAAGTTGTAGAGCACATACAAATAACCAATGTTTACCTGTCCACGCGGGAAACTTAAGCAATTTTACAGAAACAAGTGCTTACTGTGTCATCCATGAAAGTGATTACATTGATGTGAAGATCTTTTTTAGATAGGAAGGCCGTCATATTATCTTGATTCTATGAGCGTTCACATTATCAGATGGCTTGGGCATGGGCAGGCTGTATCTTTGTTCAGTTGGCTGAGACATCGTGAAGTGTCAGAAGGACACAAGAGAAAGAACACTGAGAACAGGGCCCAGAGCTTCCGTGGAAGATTTCAAATCTGAGCTCAGCCACCTCACAGTGGGTGAGCCCAGGCAAGCCTCTTAAGTTCCCCAGACCACAGTCTTCTCTTCAGCAAAACATGAGTCACAAACAATTCCTGCTTTGCCACCTCATGGCATGAAATAAGCAGTGTGAGAATTTCTCTAGGTATATAGAACTCCATGCTAACTGCTCCATAAATGGCTAAATGCCATTACTTGAATCCTTAGGCTGATTCCTGAAAAGACGGAAGGGCATGTCTAAGTAAATGGTCCCACCTTGTCTTGCCCATCACCAAGAGAATGGAACTAGGGAAAGAAGACCAGTCGTATGGCATCAGATTTTAAGTACTCTACTTGGGGATTTGTTCATTCACTCACAACACATCTACGGAGCACCTACAATGTGGGAGGTGTTGAACCTCAGATTTTGTAGGGAGAATAGACTTGAACGTAATCCAGTCTTGTCCTTAAGGTGCTCACACAGAATAGTGGGGAAGACCACACACACATACCCCAAAACCTATCATATGACATAGAAAGAGATTTGTCAAAAGAAAGACCCCTGGAATGAAATCAATTCACAGAGCCTTGGCAGTCACTTCAGTTCTCTGGGCTTTAGTTTCATCTTCAGCAAAAGTATAATAGTCACGGGGTGATTATGAAGATCAAGATGGGATATTATTTTGTTTAGGGGCTTTGTAAACTCTGAATTGCCATTCATGAGTCAGTTCTTCTGTCTCTCTTCCTCTTCCTCCTCCTCTTCTTTCTTTTCCTTCCTTCTACCCCCTCTGCTTCTCTCCCTTTTGCTCCTTCTCCTTTTCTCTGTTCTCTCTTTGCTTTGGCAGGAGGCCCCATTGTGCATCACTGAGACATTCTCACAATTAACTGGATCTAGTTTGATCATTAAAGTGACAGCCTAGTTGGATATCTTTGATCCAGCATGTTTCCTTATTGTGTCACATGATAGCTAAGAGTTGCTCATGGATCTAACCCTGGCCTGACTTAGATGACATTTTTTTACCCAGTCTGTTGCTACACATAGGATATAGAACTGAATGAAGGGGAATAATGATCTTTATTTCCTAAGGGTTTGAATCTAACTGGAGGTGGGGGAAGTGTTTAGACACAAAATATAAAGTGCTCAATATTTCAAATTGATTAAAGTTAGGAACAAAACAGACGCACCTACAACTTCTGGGTTCAACCCTTTCACGTTTGTTCTCTTCCTCCAGCCAAGCCCTGGTTCCTTAAAATTTATGACAGAATATCAAAGTAGAAAGAAATCTTAGAGGTCAGATTATTTGATGTCTGTTTGTTTTTCAATGGTAAACTATGGCCCAGAAAGGGGAGCAATCTGACCAAGGGCATACAACTGAATTAGCAACAAAATGTCTAGAACACTAATCTTCAGATTCTCATTCCATTCTTTTTTTTTTAAGTTTTATTTATTTATTTATTTGACAGAGAGAGCAAGAGAGCACAAGCAGGGGGAGCAGGAGAAGGAGAAGGAGAAGCAGGTTCCCCGCTGAG